TATTATCCCAGTTCTCAAGTATCTTTCAGATGGGCTCATCCATTGTTCCCGTACAGCTGGGTAAACAGACAATTCTGTCACGAAGGTTTACCTTATAGCACTCAAAACCCTTTGCATAAGTAGGATTTTGGTTTTTTTAATTTTAGCAAGCTACGAATGTGTTTAAAGGTGACCTCTGTTGAAAAAAAAAGAGGTATGGAAAGTCTGGGGACCACCAGAAAGGAAGGACTTCTGAAGATTGACTTGCTTCAATATACTTTTCAAAGGAAGAAAAATAATAAATCAAATAGCCGACATTTGAAGATTTAGTATGTAATCACCCTTATTAAGGCAAAAAATGACAATGATACGGACAAGAGTTTTAGTCACTGACATGAAAAGAAAACAAAGCTTTCTTGTCTTTGCAAGAAAAGGTTTCCTTTGGACTTTACTGTGAAATGGCACCACAACTGTCAAAAATTCAAGATGAACAAGTGATCCAAGACAAATTGTAACATTAAAAAAAATAGTCTTTCCTACTGCCTGTAAAGTTAATCTTCTTAAGAATTTACAATCTTCCCAAAGTAGACCGTGTGTTTTCAGTATGCCTGAACAGTGCATAGTACACAACAGTACCCTGACATTACTGGAATACAAACACCACATAGGAGGCAGATGATGTAATACACAAGAAAGGGAAGAGCTGATATCCCATTGAAAAAAAATTCTCGATATTCCTGTATGTCTACAATCCCATCCCATATTTGTGCTACTTCTACTCAGGGGCCGAAAGCCAGAGCTTAAAACACATACACAACAAGAATCTCTGTAACTCAAGGGAATTAGCAGATGTGTTGATAATCTTCCACAAATAAGAAACAAAAGCTGCCAGCTGTTCTTGTAAATTCAAAGATTAACATTAATAGGCAACGCTGAGACTACAGGTATTATTTTTCTTTTAGGTGGAATAGCTCCAGAATTGCAGTTCTGCAGATACTGAGCCGCCAGTCCAACTTCCATGACTCAAGTCTCGCCCTACACTGCAGAACACCTACAGATTCCTCAGCCAGAGACTTGCCAAAGTAAATTGGATTCTTGCCACTACTTGAGATGGCAGAGAAGCAGTGACTATATAACTAGGTCAGACTTGATTACCTAGAACAAGGGCAATTTTCTTTACATCTCCGTGTAAAGCTTCTGAAAATGGCAAAGACTGAACATTTGGGAGCTGCAGAAAGAACATCCAAAAAATCATTTTTGATAGAAGAGGTTTAACTACATTTTAATATGGATGGTATTTTCTATTAACATCAGGGCAAAAGCCTATTGTTCAGTAGAGCTCTTCACTTCCTTTATACAAGAGCTATCTCTTTGAATCTGTCTGAGTCAACTTCAGTGACCACTTTAATATTCGCTTTACAATTAATGCTTCTTTTTATGGGTTGGTAGAAGGTAAACCAATTTCAGTTCAGCTTCTAGGTATTGAATTTATTATAAAAAGTTATGTACTTAAAACTCCTATAATGAAACCAGAGGCATCATGAGATATTAACCTAGAGTTAATGCTGAGAAGGCCAGTTTGAATAATTCAGTTCATGTCACCTTAAGTATCTTTTCAAATGGAATTAACTTTATCTCGCAAAAAAAGGAAGCTCCATGTTCCAGTTACTGATTATTGACTCTGCAAGAGTTCTGTCTTAAATCATCTCACCACCATCTTCCCAGCAATTTTATTTCACTGCTACCAGAACGCTGCTTTAAATTTTGAGGGCTGACTTTCGTTATAAAGAAGCAACATTAGGTAAGAGGAAAAACATGATCTCAGAAATACTGCTACCGTTAGGTGATGCTAAAACAGACAAAAAACCAAGTTAACATCAAAGTGACTGCATTAGTTCAACATAACTACAAACCAGGGCTGCATTTCAGCCACATGCCCACAGCGACTGCAGTCATTTTCCTCCCGTACAACTCCACCTCTTTTTGCACCAATGCCATTGACATTTGGTGAGGCTGCAGTTCTCTTGCTCTGTTAATTGTCTTATTCTAACAAAAAGCCCGGCATTTAAACACGAAAAGGAGATGCTTTCAAACACCTATCTAAGCCCAGGGGAAAGTGACAGCTCCTGGTCAGCATTATTGTACAGTAAGAATGAGGGAGCCAGACAGGTGAAAACCAGGTGATGTTAAGATACAGGTGTAGCATTAGAAATTAATTGAAACAAACAAGCAGGAAAAAGAGAGGAAAATGAACAGAAACAAGAAAGAACAGCTCATAACAGCCAGAACAAAGAAGTGCTTCAGTACAGAGCATTGCTGTGCAGTTCCATGTTTCTGCAAGACACAGGACAATCAGAACGACATCTTACATTGAAGCACAGATGCCCCAGCAACATCAGCAGTCACCTGAAATGGGAAACACTGATTACCTCTCCTAGACAGTTCAAAGAAGTAAAAACTAGGTAACAAGCTAGTGTCTATTGATTTAAAGCCAGACATACTCAGGATATCCTTAGCCCAGTCAAAAACAAACAATAGGGAAAAGATTCCCGATGGATCAGGATACAAACAAAACTCAGGAAGACTTCCTTTAGCCTAATATTTAAACAGGGTGACTTTTCTGAAAGTCTAGCTTAAAACAAAAAAAGGAGGAGCATAAGAGCTTCAGCAGGGCAGAGAGAGCTGGTGTGAGCAGCACTCAAGAGTTTTCTGGGTCTATCCCCCTCCCAATTCTTACCTCTCTCAAGTCCCTCCCTGCTGAGCTCCCCTGTGGCATTCTTCATCGAGGCAGACCCCAGAAGGGAAGTCCTATGCCTGCCTGAACCACTGTGTTAAAACACACTCAAACAGAACAAAAAGAGATCCATCACGACCCTAAGACCTCACAGTTGAGGTATTAAGGCAAGAGACAAAAAGACAGCAACAAAAAAGGCATGTGAAAATAACACAATAGTCCAACAAGAAACAGCCCAGTAACTTCTCTTCAGTTTTGAGGTGAGGCAGTCTTGCAAATCTCGCTACAGTCTCTGAGCACTGAGAAACATAGCATGAAGTGCTTGTTTGGGAAAAAAGGTAACAAATTATAAAGCCAAATGCATTCAGGATATAAACAGCTCTATTCCTACCAGGACTGCATAGAAAGACAAAATTGAAGAAGAAAGCTAGAAACATTAGAAATATTTTGCAAGCTACAAGAAAAACCAGCTGAAACATGCTCTGACAGTTTTTTAATCTATGCCTACAAAGCTCTGCGCAGGGCAAGAGGGCTAGGGTAATTTCAGACCTGCTAGGCTGGAGCTGTAGACTCGGTAACCATAAATGAAATGTCAAGGCAAACCTCAATATAATATCTGAATTTGCATTTGTGGACAAAAGTACCTGTAAGTACAGAGAAAATAAATAATGGGATCAAAGATAAGGTTGATAGAACTTTGCACATGAAACCGGAGAACAAGCTCAGAGAAGTCTCTGTGTGTACACTGACAGAGTGATTAGGAAGACAGAAGAACAAGAGAAGATGAGCGCACATCGCTGCACCATCAGACGCTGAAGGTTTCCTATTACCAGCTTCCATGCATTAGCACTGTAGATGTGATTACACCCGATACCTTTATGCTATGTGCTAACCTAGTACAAGATAGGTGTATTTATAGTGGAAAGGCTAAAAGTGAAAGGTTAAGCATGGTAAAACCTGACAGAAAAACTGACTTCATCCCAAACACTCCTGCCACGGTGCTGCTGGACTACATGGGCTCTTGGTGCAGTGTTTCCCACAGAGATCCCCAGCAACTCACATATCACAGGCAAGAACACAGGTATCACCCATTCTCGGAGAAAAAGGTTTATTGTTTTCAACTCAACACCATCACAAAATGGATGGCAGGTAAAAATACAAAAGAAGGGAAATAAAATGTTTATAAAGGCTAAAAGCCTGTAAAGCAGCAAAACGTCCAACAACAAATTTTACCAAAGAAAAAAAAAGCATCAGCAGGATAAAAACTGACTCCTGCTGCTGATGAAGCCAGAAAGTATTGCTAAGTGCTTCCTGAATCGAACAAAAAAGGTACCCCCTCCTTTACAGGCTTCTGAAAAGTAGGATCTGTCTGTGCAAATTTGTTAGTAGGGAGCCACAGGACGACCAGAATCGGACCACCTTCTGGATGCTCTGTGCTGCTGACTTTACTTCTAGAGCTATTATAATCCCTTAAGACTCCTTCAGTGAAAGAAAGGATCAAGGGCCCAACCTATAAAAAAAATGCATCGTCTTAGGTATCACAGACTCTGGAGGTCTGCAGATGGAAGCTACTGAAAGGGAACAGCAGGTAAGAACATTAGGCAGAGCACTTGTATAAGTAGCCTTCATTTCCAGGATATAATCTGCTATCAGCAGGGATGCAAATCAAGTACCTAGCTATCAGAAAAAAAAAAATCTCAAGCAACCATGTTTTCAAGTCTTTGGGCACATGTATGAGAGAAACATTTTACCACTTACTTTAACATGTTGGAACCTAGTTAACATTTTCTGGTTTTAAATTGCTTATGTAATTTTAGGTCTTCTATAAACAGCTCAAATCAGATGGGCTGCCTTACAGACTTGAGAAAGCACTTATTGACCAAATACATCATCTGTAATGTCCTTTTCAATCACGAAAAGCCACAGTGAAAATTTGAATGGCTGTATCTATAGTGACTGCAATTATTTTACTGCTTAAGAAACAGAACAGAAAACAGAAGAGAATCTTAACTTCTTCCTTAGCAAAGGCATGGGTTCCTACGATTCCTGCTCCATTACAACGTGGTCAATTAACTTCAGCCATTTTATTGACCCCAACACTTGTTTGTTTGGTTTTTTGTTTTCCTGAAAACCAAACATTAAGGGATGAAGTCACAGGAAGCCAATCACAAAAGAGTATTTGACACTGCAAAACGCAAGACAACACATTTAAAGTCGCAGTACTAGTTAAAGAGAATAGATCTTTCAAAGATGTCATTAAAAAAGGAGACGGGAGAAAAGAGCTTACCTTCTGCTCCTTTTCCTTGGCAGCACTGAGTTCAGAAAGGGAGAGCGACAGCTTTTCCTGCTGCTCAGCAAGGTACCTCTGATAAAGGCTCAAAAGTTCCTGGCATTCTCTGTACTGCTGCTGCAGAGGTGAGATATCAGAAGTTAAGGGAAAAATACTCTTTAGCGAATGGTTAGAGTCAAATATATACCAACTTACTCTGTGCAAATCTGATTTAGATCCATAACAGTTCAATTTAAAAACAGATACTGTGTGTTTGAGTGCTGCCTAATGATGATAAATCTGCCTAGAGATGAATGTTCAAGTGCAACCTTCTTTCTACTCGGAGTGGAAAAAGAAGAATTGCACGAATTCTTTTATCTTTGGAAAAGGGACAGCAGCAGGAGGCAGGTGATGACATTGTTTCAGTTGGAACAATTACAACCATCTGATTTGTATTCAGCAAAGCCAGACACCACCAATGTTTATTTATAAATAAATAAATAGCCAGACAAGTAAGCAAATAGTCCATTTTTAAGCACAGACATGGATTCACGAGCCCACATACCCAAATCCAATCTCTTTGCTTTAGCACCAATGGCTCCAAAACCCACAGCCACAGATGCAGCGCTACAGGCCTTTCAGAGATCGGCAATGATTTTTGGACGCTAATCTGGAGAAGCAGCAACTGTGGTGTTTGCAAGGATATTAGCAAGCAACAGTGTCCTGCCTTGCTTGCAGCATTGAAATTCCAACAGGAGATAAATCTGCTCTTCACCTGTCATTGTGTAATTCCCTCCCTTGCTCATGTAGCATGGTAAACCATTTATGCTCCCCTCTCTCCCCCCTCACTTTTAATTATGCATGCAGATGGGATAAGGGCTCGCTGTCCAAAGAGATTACTCTGAATAAATACTTTAATAACAAGTCACTGCAATTAAGGTAGGGAACAAAAACTTCTTCAATCTATAAAATGGTGTTGAGTTACAGATTTCCTTAACATTTTTATGATCTAATCATTGCTTCTGGGCAAATTCATGTTGCAATCATTTTTGCCAATCATGGCTGCATAAATAACTCACTGCTTTGTTATTCCCTGTTACGACCCTGAGGTTTTTTTTCTTCTTCTTGTTCTTTTGCAGGAAGGGGGGGGCCTTGCCGGGAGTTTTTTGTTTGTTTGTTTTTCTTTCCTTTAAATAAAAGGCTACACAGAGAATAAGCAAAACATTTTAGGAAGGAATGGGAGGTTATTAAACCTCAATGTTTAAATCAATCAGGAGAGCTTCTAGAACACCTTTGCTCAGCACCTGGAAATACGGGAGGGTACAAACAACGGTCTAAACAAGCTAATTGCTTTCCAGAGCCGGCCTGCCTGAAGCCTGAGCTGTTTTACATTTCAGTTCATTTCGTCAGAGAGCACCAAAAGGCTGAAGTGATTTGTGGTGGTCTCAGGAGTCTCTGCCAGCTATGATGTATATAAAAGGAATTTTTTATTCCGGTTGTAACCATAGGCAGTAATGTTTATAGTAGGTGAACATATTAGCCTGGACGCAGGGCATGAATTTTACTCTAGAAAAAGCTAGTTCATTTATACAGCCTAAGAGTTAAATGTCGGTATTTGAAGACAAATTATAGGGAAATTCATTTAAACCCATGTTATGTGGCAGAATATAAAAACAGACAGTCCTATCTTTATCAATTTTTTACAGCCCTCTTAATTCACTTTGCTTCCAGCAACCCCTTCCCCACAAAACAGATTTTACCCTCTTCTCCCTCCAGCTAGCACACTGCTGGCACAAGGAGCGAGTACCCTAAATTTAGGCCTTGGGGCACACAACTGATGGCCACGCACCTACCCTCACGCTTGCCACAGTGCTAATACCAGTCCTGCTGGAAAGCTAGGCGAGACTGCCCTCACTGCCAGGCTTAGCACACACATGGTACAAACATACCATATAAAACAGATGCCCAAATTGTGTTTCACACACTTCAGAACCTTTGCTGTGCACGTGATGCAGCTGCCAAATTTATTTAAGAAACAGCTTAAAACATGGCATTCAAAATTAACATTAGGAAAGCGTGCAAGCAAGTCCGGATCGTCCAAGGGTCAGCTGTGCGGCCATGAGTGGGAAGGGCAATAGATAACATGAATGGCTGCCGAAGTATCCCTGACATCCTTCTAAGATTTGGCCAGCACTGTAACTGTTAAAACTTCCTGTATTAGAAGATTAAAACCTTGTTCATTCACACAATCACTCTATATTAAGCAACGTATTGTTACAGCCACCATAGTCTCAGAGTCCAAAGCCCTGCTTTGCTTACTAAGTAACTAAACATGAAGCTTCAAATAGGAAAGGAAAAAAAAATGTCCATTTGTTTAAGACACATGCAGAATAGCTCCAAGTACGATAATTCTCCATAATGTGCTGGTACATTTACTGCAGAATATGTTCTTAAGGAAAAAAAAAAAGCTTTAATGTTAGATCTTACTCTTCCGTTCTATTGAATTTTTGCTAAAAGCAGCAAGATGATCTCCTTTTTCCCCCTACAAATTAGTCAGGCAATATACAACACTGCCACAGAAATATTTAAGTCATTCAGATATAACAAGGGCACACATCTATTGTGGCAATACAGTCTCTAGACAAATAAATAAGTAATGATAAATATTTTCATAATCTGCTTTAAAAAAAAAGTTAAATGGTAAAAAAACCAAACTATTGGACAACAAGTTCTACAGATTTGCATTCCACAGAAAAAGTAACGTGCCTAAATGCTCACATCACCTATTTCTTCATGTGTTCAGGAGCACAAATGTTGGATTTACAAGATGTTAGTTACCTGAGAGAAGTGGTACTTGGCATTTCACTGAACAGTGGTTTTATGTCCAAGAAATATCCATTAAAATGTACCTGAGCAATACATTTTATGCAGTTTGTTAGTAAAGTACTAAGGTTGTACATGGGGGGGAGGGGGAACAAAAAAGATCAAAATCAGAAATGCAAAGGTTAAGATTTCAACAGCCACATTTACATGTCACACTGCAAGTACTATGTATTTTATTGAATAAATCAGTTAATTTTGCATCTGAATGCAAGTCACAGAATTAAGAGTTCATTTACGGCTCTTAAGAGACAATAACCTCAGTGGAGACAGGGTTGGCTTTGAGAAGATGGGCTGCTAGCACAGAGCGATGGCACACTTGGAGAGGCCAGGAACAGGTTTCCAGGGAGGGGGACGTTAGGCAGGGAACAAAGAGCTCTTTATTTGGGGTGAAGCTTCCCGAGAAGGCACAGCCAACCAACTACTCCCAGATTACTCATTGCTGAAATACTTTTAAGTCCTCTCACAAGCTGAAGTAGGACAAACAGCTGCAGTTCCCTGCTTCCCCAGCAACAGGAGGAGAGGGAGAGAAGAGGTGGGAGAAGATGTGCCGTCTCTACCATACCCACTGACCTCTTGCACTGTTCCCTGCACTGTTTCCACTGCCTCTTTGACTATAAGTGAAGCCCAGCTTAGAATTTGAAGTGTTTTGGTTTAGAGCATTCACCAGCTTCCTAGAAAGCTTTTGAATGCTACACATCAGCCTCCACATGTAGCAATGTTCGTGCTACAGCAGTTCAAACACCCACTGGTCTCTTCATCTGCAGTCAAGGTTTTCAAATGAAGCTGACACCAGGCTACTCCACAAGGGCTATTTGCTGAAGTTCTGCCTTTCTTAAACCACTTATTTCAAGAGGGAAAGAAAAGAAATAAGGTAGAGGACCTTGTCTTTAGAAAGAACGGGGTTTTTAGTCTGTACCATTCAAGAAGAAATGTTTAGTTTTACCTCACTTTTACCTCCAAACACAGGAATCTGGAGCTGAAAAAAAGTTTTCTAGAAGCTATTAGCAAGGGAAGAGAACAATACTAATGAGATTTTTTGGCAATCAACCTATCAACAAAGGCCGTTCTGTATTTTCAGAGTGTTTGTGAGAACTCCTTGCCTAGTAACTCCCTCCTTAATGGCTCGTCACAAGCATTTTTGGGATAGGCTTAAGCTCTAGTGTTCCTGTTTCACACACAGAAAAACTGTGGCACAGGGAGTCTTTGGGCACGTCTGTGCACACAGGTGCAGCCCAGCAGTCCCACACTCCACACGCCAGCTCCAGGACACAAGTCTGGCAGCTGTAGGGTAAGTTAGCACAGCTTGGGCACAGCACTCACAGACCAGATCCATCCTGCACTGACTGGAGTACAGGTTTGCCTGCACTCACCCATGCAGACAAGCCCTGATAGACGCCCAACAAGATGACCAGGGATGACTGACTCCCACAGTCCTCGACTGCAGCTCTGACTTGGACCACCCTTTCATTCAAGGCTGCATACTTTGATCCATGTCCAGAAGAGAACACAATACTTAAATCTCCATCTTCAGCAACAAGATGTTCCAGTTTCATCAGTCCCTCTATCCTATGGAAGATTCTCTAGAGACTCAGAGCTATTACACAGATATGCAAAGATGAATAAAGTAAGCAAAGGAAGCAAAAAAGTCAAACAGGCGCAAGTTAGATTTAAATTTAAATAAGATAGCAATAACTTACACTTTGTGGTAGAGGCACAAGAAACCTTCAGGGATATGATTTCAGCACATGATGAAGAAAGCTTTTTGCCATCTGCGATCATGATCTGGTAGTCACAAAATACTTTTTTTTAAATTAATCCCTACTTAAGGACATGTATCTAGAAAGCTGATTAATTATCATCACACTGGCAGTTTCAGCAAAGGCTGAACTCCCTTCACTGCCTCAGGTCGTCCCTTCAGGACAAAGGCTGTGAGAAAACTAGACTGGGAAGGCAGCACTGAGGCAGTACCACTGGCACGAGACTGCTGATGCTGAGCAGTGCAAGAGAAGACTTGGGTCTCCGAAGTCTACTCAGGTAAGCTGCAGGCAGAACTATCCTATGGCATCCCATTGCACTGCTACTCAGTATGCCTTAAGATGCTGCAATGAGAGTAAGAACACATTTTACCAATCTCAGGCAACGACTCAGACCCAACATAGCTGGGTTTCCAAATAATGCTGCACCTGTACCTACAATTAAGGCTCAAAATACATTTAAATGCTCATAATACAAGGGAACAGAATCTGAGGTCTGCAGAGCCCCAAATCCCACGGCAGCCTTGTAGCAAACTCCACTACAAGTGTGCTCAGTTTGAAGTGGGCCCACATTTTTCCATACAACACCCAAGCATATATTTTTCAGTATTTTGACACATAAAGCAATGAGGTTTATTTTCTACCTTAATATTTTGCATATCAATAGGAGAAAGAAACCATGCCTTTTGGGAAAGAAGCAATATGTATGTCATTCTGATTTCCACCTGCAGGCTCTCTTCTTCCTAACCAAAGAAAGGATTAAAATAATGCAGCTTCAACTACTTACATATGAAAAGTCATATGAATAAAAATAAACTGCTGGTATTAATGAATTAACATCTAAAAGGCACACTTTAAAATATAAACTAAGATATTCTAAGCTCTTTCCTTTAGCATTAAACAATTATAGACTTCATTGGAAGCTGACCCACTTTCAATCTTAAAATACAACTTGTGTCTAATACATATACAGTAATGCGTTTCGACAATCCCATCTCAAAAAAGCAACAACAGGACTGCATTTTGGAAGCCAAACTATCCAGGCACAGATCAAAGCCAACCCTAACACGTTCCTTCTGCCTTTAAAATTAAGAGAAATAAAATAAGTGGCTCGAACCTATGTGAATCATTGTTCTGTGAAAGGGTAAAGACTAGTAACTTCTATGAAGGTTTATTATCTAAACTCTGAAGATGCTGCAAAGACTGAAGGTAATAAAATGTTTTATGAACAACTTCACTTCGCTCGTTCTTATATAACTGAGTTTATGTGGACTCCTTGGCACAGTGATGCTAAGAACCTGTAGGGAACTTTCTGCACATCCACTTTTCAACGTATTAAAGAAATCATCTGGTGCGGGTCTGCAGCTTATGAGCCTTCAATTCAAAACACAATCTCTTTCTGATCCAAAATCCTCAGGAAGCACAATTCTGAAAACACCATAAAGAAGCAAGCCACATACAATAAGACAGAGTGATCTCCAACAGTTAAATTTTCATTTACATTTGAACATTTTAACGTTGTTATCCAGACAGTAAATTAACTCAAGATGCAAGAATAAAAAGGGAAGATGCATAGGGAAAAAGGTCACAAGGTCCACAGAAGTTAAGAACCTCACCTCTGTTTCAAGCATCAGCATTATGTTGTTGAATGCCACAGCTCTCATATAAAGGAATCGCTTAATACATTCCCATTCTGTTTGAAGGGAAATTAAATTTACATTCTTTGGGAATATGGTATTGTAATTAGTTCATGACTTGATTACACTTTGAAGTGAGCCAAGACTGCATATGGTGCATACAAATTAGTTAAGTTATGGTTACCTACCTAAAGAAAAGCTACAGAGTTGAGAACAAAGCCAGGGCAGCCCTTTGGAGCTTTCAGAAAGCATATATAAAACATCAAATTCAAATCTAGTCCCTGGACTTACTGATGTCAGGAGGGAACAGAAATAAAAAGCGCAGTTTCCTAAACTGCTGAATGAGTTGTTTGCAAAAAATAATCTTTCCATCTCTACCCATACCACCTGTAGGGTAACTGTTAAAATTGTTCCTAGGAAAAAAGCAATAAAAGATACAAGACTTCCTACCCTGGTTAAATGTGCCCGTATGATCTATTCCTAGGTCTCGTAATTTTTTTTAATTTCTTTTGTAGACAGCCTGAGTTTTACATCACCTACCAAGATCCTCTGTTCCACCCAGATTATGGAATTCCCCAAGTTCACTTTAAAGGTACTGAAAAGCATTGAAATGCACAGTATAAATACAGTGCATCTGAAAGTGACCAAACAAAAAGATGGCCAAGTATGATTTAAAGAGAGCAAGGAAAGCATTTAAACCTAAAACTAATTCCCAACATAGCACACGAACTCAGAGAAGTCTCTATCACTCTTTCAAATGCAAAAGCTGTTTAGGCTACCAGGTTTGATCCCACGTAGTGAAAGCCCTTTCCACAGGATATGCCAATCAAACCGGACAGCTTATCTGCCATGTTCTCCGGTTCAAAGGTGGGTAAGGACAAAAATATCACACGCCGTCATATGCCAGCAGATGTGCCTGGATCAATAAATGCAAATACCATCTCGGAGAGCTCGCACTTTCCATTTCAAGTGGAAAACACATCTCCAGCCTTATCTTCATTAATACAAACAAAAGGATACTTACGAGTAAAGAAAAAAGGAAAGCAAAGGTTTATTCTACAGCCTGGTTGTGCTAACAACTTTCATCAAGTGAAAAGGAAGGAAGAAAGCAACACACAAAAGGCAAGTTATGCCACTACACACTGGTGAAAGCATCCATTTTCATAAAGATAAACACAAGGAATCTACTGACAGAAAAACTAACATCAGGAATACACAAAATGCAAATACCACAGATCAAGCTACAGGTCCCGGCTTGGGCCGTAAAAATTTTGTACTTTTGGCTTAAGAACTGCAATGGTAGGAGATTTTCCTTCAGTGGCAAGGAAGAGTTTGTACAAAACATAGTCGCTCCTTCCAAGGGAGCTCTGCCAATGTCTGTAGCGACTTTCAGGATTTAAAGATTTCCTTTGGCATTTGCTTAGAAGGCACAGCTACCCAGCCTCTTTCACTGGAAACTGTTAAGGAACTTGTTACTTATGTACTTGTCTATCAGCCGGTAAATGTATGATCCTTTTTTATGGAAAAAAAAGGAGCCCAGAGATTCAGCCATATACAATTTCTGTGCAAAACAGTCCCAGCGTTTGAGAACACCACCACACATTTCATCACGTACGACAGAAAATAACCTCAGCCTGTGCTGTGTGAGACTATGAAGCCAAAAGCAGGTATTGCACCTATCACCATCCACACAGAAAGAAGGCTATTTTTTCCTTTTACATATTTAGAGTGCAAAATTAAACAAATAAAAGGAACACTGCATAATTTAGCTTTCATTTTCTATCAAATTGCTCATAATTGTAACCATAAAATGATAATATTCTACCATATGTGCATCTGCAAAGTCGACAAAAGCACTGGTCAGCCCCTGCGACAAGAAAAATGGACCTGTCGCTCCACCTAGTGACCCTGCTGGATATTGCCGCTCTCCTAACAACTCGCACAGAGCGCTTGTCAAATTTTGAGGTTAATTTTGTTACAGAGCAGGATCTAACACATCACTTTGAAACATGAAAATCCGCCGTGCAACCCTCCCGCTCCCGTGCTTCCCCAAATTACACTTCCCTCCATCCACACAGGCAGCCACAGCTTTCCGTAAGATACTCATCACTCGAAATAGTGGCTGTTTTGGTTGCAGGCCTTTTGTGAGAAAGAATTTTTCACAGTAGCCACCGTTACCGTTTACACAAAGTCATCGGTGCTACTCAATATTAAAACAGCCGTGTTCTTTAATTTGACAACATTGCTCCTGGCAGAAGCCCGAGGAGAGAGAAGGCGCCTTTAGCCTGTATGGGAATTGAGGTACCTGAGAAAGGAAGCTCAGCCTGTTACGTGTAGACAAAGCAGAGGAGTTACTGAACACAACAAATGTGAGCTCGGAGTCAGAAGTGTGGAGGAAAGGCGATGGAGAGGCAAAAGAGAAATGGAATGTAAAACCTGAACTTACAGAGAGCAGAGCTACAGCCCCTCCATCTCAATTAAAGAACATGCATAGTAAATCAAAAAGGTGTCTGCTTTGCCAAGAATGAGAATGCAAGATCACAAAACATCAGCTCGTTTTGTAACAAAGCTAATCAGGTTTGGTCTCAGTTACTATCAGAATGGGGATCACCTGAGAATACTCTGTGGTGTCTGTCTTGTTGCTCCCTCGCAGGAAACAATCAATCATCACTCTTAATTTTATATATTTGATGTGTCTCAATGAACCTTTTCCTTACAGCCCTCAAATTGGAATAATGCTGACGGAGAAAAGCAGGCCCTCCTCCAGCCAAGACTCCTCATCTGGGTTCATACGGGAACGGGAACCTGGCTGCTGCAGGGAATTCTTTTGTTCGCTGCGTCCTCATGTGGGTGCCTCCCTGCACCGGTCTGCATCAAGCTTGGGCCTTTCAACTTTCCTCTTTCCCCCTTTTTAAACTAGAACATACCCAGATAGGAGCATGAAGATTCTGATCTGACTATTGGCAAATGGTGCAAGTGGGGAGATGAAAATCTGTAAATGTTTCTGGATCAAAATAGCAAAAAAAAAAATATATATATACCAGCAAGCCAAGACATATCGTCCTGCTTATGGAACTGCCTTCAGTGTTATCGCTAGAACAGCACAATGTAAAAGTTGCAGATCATTCTAGATAATTTATTTTTTTCTTTTAAAACTATTGCTGTTTTGACAGTC